ACAGGACTCAAGATGGATGGCTTGGTACATGTCCGTAAGAAAAATGATGAAAATTATCCCGGCAAGAGACCCCAAATTGTGCGTGTGAGTGGGAGAATAATGTATGAGAATGAGAAGGATTGATAATGCTGAGGAAGATGATGAAAAGGATGAACATAATGATGTTGTGGAAGGTGAGGTGGAGGTTGATGATGTTGAGGATGACGAGCCCAAGGAGCAGGAAGATGATGAGGTTGAGAATGATGATGTCGAGGAGGAGGAAGATGATGATCTGAAGGATGATGATGTTGAGGAGGAGGACCGATCCCAAGACCGGTACCCACACTTTGCGCGAGCCTGCGCAGTCAAAATGCACTTGGACATTTCACACGAGCCACTTTATGCGGAAATTTACAGGAAAAATGCCGGGGCCAGATGGAGCACCCTGATCAAGCACCGGCCTTTACACTCACCGTAAGAACCCCTCAGTGTGGACACACTGTTTGGGGAAACATGTTACATTCTAAAACAAAAAACTGTGGGCTCATTAGGGTACCTGACCCATACCAAGTCACCTTACGTGACTGCCATAGGATCCATATGGATATCTTTGGTACCATTCACTAAGTGCCTCCACTGCGAAGGTGGACATGCTCAATTGGTGAAATGCTCGGCCTTGTCGAGTGCAGAGATCAATGTCGAGGCATCTGGGTGTCTCTGATTTCACGTGGTATACTGGTATACCAAGGTTACCACCTGTTTATGGCAATCTGACCATGGGAACATGATTATTACGTTGGTGTTACCTATGGGATCCTATGGATAGCCTATTTTCAGACAACCCCATATGTTTGGCACTCAGCTTTTGGCCGTAGTTGTAGGCAACTTCTGCGCGAATGGCCAAACAGTCAAGCCTGCCCCGGAAGCAGCACATGACACTGCCTTTAAAACAAAAAATATCAAAAAATAACATTCCAAACAGCAAGCTGACTCCAGCTGTTGGCAAATCAGCCAGTCTGACGGATCGGCTGTTTGCAAATCTTCTTCCCAGGCTTGTCGCCTGAAGTCTCCACACAATCTGTCCTCTTTGCTGTCCATTGTCACCCTTGAATTTTCTGTGCCAGGACCTGCTGAGTCTAGTATCTTAAAGCTGTTTACTTAACGTTACTTAGCAAGATGTCTCACATAATATTTGAATATATTTGATCATATCTTACTATACCTCATCATACCTATACTACTTCGTAATCTTGGTACTTGATGAATTTTGAAGAACTTGGCACGCTGCTCCGTGGGCATTCCGCCCCAGGATTCCACGGGATCCTCATTTTCAGTCGCTGCAAGGCCTTGAAAATAAGCAACTGATGAACCCAGGACTGAATCCTGAAAAAAATCACTTATGCAAAAGGAGCTCAGTTTACAATCCCGAGTACATATGATTCTTCATTGAAAGTTGTAGCCTGGCAATCTGCAATCTAATTTATGGCATGCACGCGCATGCGCATACACATGAACATACGCCACCATAACCACTGTCAACATCCAACCCAGCCTGCAGCACGCAAGCGTAGCCGCCGATAGCGCTGCAGGAAAGTCAGCCCTTTCAGGATTAAATCGTGGCCTGAACGCTTGGCTGTTCTTGAATCTTGGTGCGACCCACTTCTTGTCGCAAGATGTCGCAAGTGGGTCCAACAATTGGGGGTACCCCATGACTTAGGTAACCACCATACAGGGTGGTGCCCCATAGTTAGCTAAGTTGGTTTATAAGTCCAATAACTATGGTTTATAGGTGATATATCTATAGTTACTGGGATTATAACCCATTTATAACTGGGGGGGCACCACCTTGTATCACTATTCACCATGGTTCACCATGAATAAAACCGCCATTGAGTCGAGGAAAAATGAGGATCAACCATGGCTGAGCAACGTCGGGCTGCAGCGCGCGACATGGCAAAGGAGATGTAGGCCTTGGAGCTGTGCCAATCTGCCAAGGTGGATTCATCATGTCTCATCATTTGGGTATGAGTCAAAATGTAAGACCTGGGGGACCACAGATGGAAAAGTCTATTTTTAGTATTCACCATCCAACTATTGGGGTACTCAATTTTGACCCATACCCATTTAGCATGTTTTTTTCTGGGTGAGTTTACTTGATGGTACTATATAATATTATATAATATTATATAATACTATCATATAGTACAAGTAGACTATATATGTACACCAAGAACTTGTGGTTTATCGTTTAACTATCATGTGGGTCCTGGGTCAAAATTGGACACCCCAATAAATCCAATAATTAGATTGTAAATATTTGATATATGACCATAGACTAAAATCATCTAAAATCTCCTGGTCTTCAATTTTCGCCCATACCCATATCATCCACTGCGGTATCTCGGGTACTTCCCTAGGGACAAAGCCGACCTGAGACAGCGACAGTTGCAGTACAAAGTGCCGGTAGCGGCTCCTTGGCTCCACATTGATGGCCACTGATGTGGAAAATGATGAGAAACCATGATAAACTATGGAATGTGAAGGGATTTTTCTCATTGATATTATATGATATTATTTTGCCATGGAAAATATGGAAATTGGCGAAGATCAACCGTGGGATGGAATGGAGATCAATGGAGATCCAAATTTTGAGATGACTTGAAACCCCATTTCCATCGCGGGCACTGAGGTCGTGGGGCACTGAGGTCGTGGGGCACTGAGGCCACTGCAAAGGGGGCAAGACGATGGGCTCTCGAGTATTCAGCAACTGCAAAGGGGTACCTGCCGGCGAAAAAGTGCTGGCAACACCGGCAACACCTACGAGTACCGCTCATGCTAAGGCCGCACACATTCAGGGCACTGTGATGCGATGATGCAAAAGTGAGCACAAAGCAAGGTGAGGCCAAAGTCGCGAGGCCTACAACCGGCTCATCTGGTAACGATCATCCCAACATGACCGGCTTCAGATTGAGCTTCGGAAGCAATTTGGAGGAAAAGAAAAAAAACACATTCCACTCATTTCCACTCTCTTCCTCCAAATTGCTTCCCTTCATCCCGATATATCCCGATAGTCCCAGAGGCCCATCCTGCTATGCTTATTCAAGTGATCAGGTGGTTAAGGTGATGGCAGCTGGTGCGAAAATGAAAACTAATTGAAACAAAAGTCAAGTGTAACGGGATATTCAGTGGCTCAGTCCATGAATGTCCATGATCATGTGCACAGATTCTTTGCATGTAGCCATCTAACATGGCAAAGAACAATCCCTATACTGATAATAGCCAATCCATCTACACATGATGAGTCATTCTTTTAAAATATTGTGCAGCAATCAAATATGTCAATGCAAAATCCTACATGTCGTAGATGCTCATAGATGGATGTTCTGTTAAAACCTCCATTTATTATAAGTTCCCAGCCATGGCACGGCACCTCTTCAACAGCTTACGCAATGCCCAGCCGCGAACGTCGGTGAAGGCGGCAGCATACGTGTTCCCTGCAGCATGATGCTTATTTAGTTAGCATAGTGGTCGGATGTTTGGATATGTTTGGGGAATGGTATGATCAATGAATGCTTGAAACTTAAGTATCATCAGAACGTCGATTGGTCTCCCGCATACTGGCAGAATTCAGAGCATTATCATGGTCAAAAATTCGGTATCGCCAAAGTTCCCAAAGTTTGGGATGAATCATTGGATTGATTTTAAGGGAAAATCTACAGGAAACCATGTTTTTTACCATCAAATATTAGGCTTTCCTGTAAATCTTCCCATCATCCAATTCTATGAATGAAGTGGGATCTGCGGTGCCCAAGGTCCGTTCAATCCGACTTCGACCCATTCCCAGCTGCGTTTCACCAAGGCACTGTGCCCCGAGGAGGGAAAAGTGGTCTTCTCGTGTTCCCATGGAGCAACATCGCCACGATCCTAGCTATGGGATTTTCGTTGATTTTCACTATCATCCAGATATCAAATGATATTCAACTCACGTCATTTATTAGCATCAGCATCATGTATCAATTTATTGATTCTCATTTACTATCATATAAATATATAGTAGATGAGATGATCTGAGTTTGGCTGGAAACTATGGAAATCGACATTGGCAACAAAATTCACCCCGATCTTACCCCGTATGCCTTGGCTGCAGGGCTGGCGCTCAAGCCATCAACGTCTGCATGGGCAAACCTGGATGGGGTGAGATGCGGGAGTCTGCACGAATGTGAGGGAAACTTGTTCAAAGCATTCACACACCCATTTTGGGGGTTAGGTCTTGTCTCGTCTGGTACCTTACTCACCATGAGCAAGAAACTTTTTTCTCCGCAAATTCAGTCACGCGTAGCAAGCCGCATTTGCCACCCTCAGGCATTGCCATTGGATGCTTTCGCTTGAACCTGCTCGCTCAATTGCTGCCGTTCTGCCTGTAGTCCTTTGCAACGCTCTTGCATCGATGCTTTTTCTTTCAAGAGGGCGTCTTTGTCCTTCTGAAGCTGAGCTTCTTTTCTTTCGTTGCGCACACGCAACTCAGCATTCTCCTTCTCCAGAACCTCTGCTCTTCTGTGCATCTTGCCTTTTTGTCGCTTGTATTGACCAAGCACTTTGTCTGATTTCGACAAAGCGTCCTGGAAGTGCTGAAACTTCGCGCCATAGGTTTGAAGCTGTTGCCTCAATGCCTGCTCCGCACCATTCAGCTGGTCATTCTCCACCTGTGCCTTTCTTTCTCGATCAGCCTCAAAGCGGTATGCGTGAGCAGCATCGCTCAGCTTTTGCTCAAAGGCTTTCAACTCACTATCTCGAGATTTCTGTTGTTCAGCCAAATCTTTTTCACGTGCATCGTACTTCTCAAAGAATTCTTTGAACCTGGTCCTCAGAACCTCATTCTCCAGGGCCAACCTGGAGCGTTCACTGGCCTGCTGGTCCATCTTCTTTTTCACATCCGAAATGGTTTGTTGGAATTCATCTGCCAAATCCTGGCGGCGTTGTCTTTCTGCATCTGTCATCTGTCTCCTTTCATCCGAGAGCGCGGCAGTTTGTTGCTGCAACTGACGGAAGAGAGACTCCAACTTGGATTTCGTTGACAAAGACCTCGAAAGCTCAGACTGCGAGTTTTCCGCCTGCTCTTCAATCTCTGTCAAGTCCTTCATGTTGGAGTGGGCTTCTTCTTCCAGGTTGGAAGCCTCAGTCTGTTCCACCTCCAGGCGCTCCAAAAGAAGCTGCACTTTGTCAGCATCTGAGGATTCGCCAGAGACGATCTGTTTGATCTCTTTCAATTTGGTCTTGGCTGCTGTGCGGGCTCGACACTTCTGAGCTTTCTGGGACTTTTCGACTTCCTCCGCGGAGGTCTTTTCAAACTCACGAATTTTCTTGTTCACCAAGTCGGCCAGGTCGGAGGACAAGTTCACACTTGGCACCGAGACTGGAGACACCTTCAAATCGTTGGTCTTCTCAGTCTTCTCTTTGTCCTTGCTCTTGCCCTTCTTGGGCCCCATGGCAAAGTCTGCGGAAAGGATCAATCGGATAAACTATGATAATTGCAACGTCTGTTGATACGCCTGAGCCAGAAACCCTGCGGGTGCTTTGACGTTCATCGATCAGTGAAATTCGTCAATCAGCACCTTTCTTTGTTCTCTTGACAATGACATTATCATCCTTGCAAAGTGACCCAGAATCGCTGCCATGAGCAAATTGAGGTTGAAACAGTATTCTCGAGAAGAAGGCCAATAGGTGAGGACTGGCATGACGATCGCACACAGTTCTCAGGTGCTTGAAAACGACCTCAGTGACCAATTCACGTGAATAGGCCAATGAATGCCAGAGGATGCCAGGGGAATCCATGGGCATCCCCCTTCCATCGCTCTAAGTTTTCAGCCTTCCACAATCGTGCCTCAAAACCTGCAGATGGAGTCAAGCCGCAAGACGAATCATGTGGGTTTCTGTCAAGATTATGAATCCCAGAGAATGGATGGTGTCAGATCCAAACAGACTTGACCCCATGGTTTGAGACCTCAAGAGACTTAGGAAAGGCCGGCTTCATGGGTCACTTTAGCCTGGTACCCTTCTGTTCACACAAAAATAGCTAAAATTTCTGGATCCATCCCCGACAGCAACTTTGCAACCTGTCAGAAGCGAAGTCATGGCCAAATCTCGAACCAGGCGCCGTTTGACCTCGGTGAATGCCCAAGCTTTGTGCACAATGATCACTTAAGAAAGCAGTAAAAGGATGTAAAAGGGATGTAAATGCGACATAAAGGGGATGTCAGCAGGTTGAAAAGTGTTGGTGAGTTGGACATGATTTGAACATGTTTGATCCAGTCTTGTTATTTGTAAACCTTCATTCCCTTCACATCTACGGAGATGGAACTGAGTCCGGCGCTGGATTCCGCACAGAAACCAATCGACGATTGGATATGATCAATTCACAGAGTTCAACAGCCTTGACACAAAAAACAATCCGCAGCATTCACTCGAAACTGTCCTATCGCTTGAGGATGCTTGATGTGTGTGTGTGTGTATTTATGTATATATATATAATTATATAATAGAGAGAGAGAGAGTGTGTGTGTGATAGGTAAGACAAGAGAAAACCAGGTCAGATAAGCCAAGATAGATGGATATAGATAGATATGGAGATAGAAATATGGCGATATAGATGGAGATCATTGGAGATCGTTCGAGATCAGGGGAGACGATTCACGATAGTGATCCAAAATATTTTAAAATGATATTGTAGCCAATGATATAGATATGAATTAGATATGAATTAGATATGAATTAGATATAAATTAGATTGACATAGCAGTACTGTGATGCATTTACTATCTCAGCCACAAAAACTCCTTGCAGAACGGGCAACGAAGCTGAGCCTGCTGAGGCTCTTGCTCGCGCAGCCTGGACCACGCCTTCCCTGGACTTGGAGTTCTTCTCTGAAAGTGCGTAGCAGCCTCGGCATATTTTGGTGATACCATGAGGATCCTTGAGGCATAGCCATAAAATTGTCGTATGATATTCATATTATGATATATTGTGCATTATTATGCTGTATTGTGTCGTATTGATCGGGAAAGTGTTAAGAACAATGTTCATAAGAAAACTACATCATCATCATCATCATCATCATCATCATCATCGAGCATGGGATTTGGGGATATACCTCACGTTTCAACAAACCCATTTCGTGGCAACCGATGACTACTGGTGACATCAACCGACTCATGCAGACGCTTCGACACGTCTCAACGGCCGAGCCCCTGGCGAGTGATCTCTACCCCAGTCTTCACCATACTAAGGTAAGCTTCAAATCCAAACCTCAGCAGAGCCGGGCAGAGCTTCAAGTTGTTGAAGCTTAGCTATCAAAACATAAAGGGAAAATGATGGAAAACGTACCCCGTTTTTTTAACAAGGGAAAAATAGCCCGGAAAGACCTACCGCATACTACTGCCACTCCGTTGACCCTTAAGGATCTTGCATATCCTCAATGGAATCGAGGCCAAGATGTTTGCGCTTCCAACGGTAGCTGGTGAATGCCTGCCAGCACCGCAGCAGCGCAGTCCAGCTTTTCGTATTTTCAGCTGCGGTCACTGAATCAGGCGCCTGAGACGATTCTTCCTGGCAGAATCGACAAATCCGGGGCTGGGAATGTAGACGCACTGAACTGCACAGTTTGGAATCCGGCCTGAGGCCTCGGGTTGCCCTTCAAAGGCTGCTTGACTACTAACGCAAGTGCTTGTTCGGAGCCTCTTGACCAAGGGCATTCGCACAAACGTCAAATACAAACACCATCAAACGCTGTCAGCCAGTATACACCAATATCAAACATTCAAAACAAACACTAAACTACTAAACTAAACATTGCTGTCTTCCGTGGTCACCAACCTGCTTCCGCTTCTTTGCCTCTGCTTCTCTTCCATCCCCTTTTCACCGGCCCTTCGTCAGCCTGGAAAAGAATCCAATCGCAGCGAATCACGTCTCACGCATGCGACCCAAGTCAGGAGAGTCAAAAACTTGATCTTTGGAAAACAGAAACCTACAGAGGCTTTTCCAAAGTATTGAGCTTGGAACCATCTGCTGTTTTGAAAATGCGTTGAGAGAACAGCCGAAGATTCAAAACATCCCATCTGTGCCTCTTCTGTCTGATGAGGCTCCTAGGCATGAAATACTGTCGTTCCACTTCACCGGACACTTCCAACCTAACTGAAACCAAATCTATCATCTAGATTCATCTAGACTATCAATGTGTTGGGGCATTGCTCCACTGTCCCTTTTAGATCTTTTAGCCTTCGGGACCACCATGTCAACAGCTGCCCAAATAGCCAGATATTTTCACACACTCAGATATTGGATCATCTCAAAATGTGGTTCAAAACCTCTGACATTGGATGGTGAATCCACACATCTGCCATTGGTTCTTGAATCCCTTGGACATCGCCTGGGCACCGGGCATTCTCCAAGGCCAGTTGCGGAGTTTGCGGAGCCTGCGGAGCCTGCGCTTCCTGCCGCTGATTGGCGCTGTGCGCTGACAGCCGCTTGTAGTCCAGTTCGCAGTCATACCTTGGCGCAACGCGGCTTGAAGAACCTAACTGAATCATCCCAAATGTTAACATATTTAACATGAAACACCCTCAGAAACCATGGTTTTTTGTAGGGGATAAAAACATCTATTTGGGACCATGTAGGCCCAATGACGCGGCGATGATGGGATCAATGTGGTCTCAATAGTAACCGTCCCCTTTTTTCGAAACCAGTACTGGCTCGTATATGGTAGTAGCCCCAATTGGAGGTCTTTGGCGTTGGATTCTCATGTAGCAAGATGTAGCAAGTCTATGCAAGTTTTGGAATTTCTGAGCAAGCACAGAATTTGAGAATACAAACACAGAAACGATCAGCAAATCATGTTGTGCTGCCCCGACACCGCGGAATCCAGCATGGTTCAAGGAAATTTCATGGAGAGCACAAAAAAGGCTGAGAATCAGGCACCAAATGGCGAAACTTGGAGATAAATGCTTTGAGCTCCTGAAAGCGTATATCGAAAGTCGGGCATCCGCTGCTATCCTTGTCGTCTTTTACTTCGCGATCCGAGCAACCCAGTCCTCCAAGCTACCAACATAACGATGCAGGTGTGCCTACAGCTCAAAAATGCTCAAAATTTTGAGGGCTCAGGGAGACCAAAGTGCTGCATAGTGCTGCAATGGCATGCTGAAGCTCCCACCCTGTCATTTGCTCGAATTGCTCTCGCTAGTGTCGTCTCAATGGTTTCGTTCAGCTCCTGTAACAGCGCAAGTCTCCTATTAAATTATTTTTTGTTAAAACTTGTTAAACCACTTTGTCCCTGGGGCAGCAAAGGGAACCCAAACGCAACGACAAACATGAGGCGTCGCTCTCCGACGGCATGTGACCTTGCCCCTCCTTATAGATTTTTTTCCTCTCTGCGGCACTCATCGGTGGTGGCAGTTCATGGCTCCGTTGCAGTTCCTACAGAAGTTTTACATCAATCGAAAAACCCAATGGCGATTGCAAATCAAATATCCATAAACATCCAACATACCATGTAAAATGATTTTTCTCAAGATGATTCATGATTCATGATGATTTGCCTAAATAAAATTGTTGATTTTCCATGTAGTTATGTTAAATTTCCCAGAGGGCTGCAGAAAAAAGGCTGGCCTCGTAGGTCAATGTGCTCAAAACCTGATCTGCTCGATCAGATCTCCCAAGCTCCTGGCGATACGCAATAACAAATCATGGTATCAATCATCACAAATCATCAAAAAAACGCACATATATCTTTATACGTACAATTATTTCTACATATGTATGTTCTATATATATATTTATATATATATATCTCTCTCTATATATATATATATCTCTCTCTCTCTAGATACTATATACACCGACCCCTGCCCAACCTGGGGCGGCGCCCGGGATCACCGCAGGTGCGACATTTCCATACATTTTCCTTACCAATGCCAAAAGCCGCTGCAGCTTCAGGCACCGTTGCCTGAACTTGAGGCACCGTTGCCATCACTGTAGTCAGGCACAGTTGCCACCAAATCGGCCAACCGCTGGATGAAAGACGAGCGTGTGGAGCCGGAGACCCGCGGAGTCATGGCCAAGCTGCCACGTGCCGACGGCGAACCCGCCAGAGGCTTCTCTGAGTAGAACACCTGGCCTGTCTCCCTCCCTCCAACGGCGAACAAGGGCGGCCGCTCATTCACACCCGGAAACCGCAACGGGTGCAGCTCCATCGGCTTATCTCCGCGGTCCTAGCCAGATAAGATGTGAATAGATACTTGGTGGATGGTTTTGGTCTAAAGCATGTGCAAGTAACATATAACCTAATTGTAAAGTATCTACAACCCTAGTGTAACTTAGGCTAAGTAAGATAAGTTTCTCTCATTTTTTTATGGTAGTTGTAAGTATTTACCAAAGATAAACTAGATAGCCAAGTTTTTTTTGCGTTACCAACCAAAATAATTTATAAGTAACTTAGGAAACTTAACTCTCTTTGTTATGAAAAATAACCTTTTGTCTTGGAATAGAAATATCTAAAAAAGCAAGGTTTGGGTTGGAAACAAATAAATAACCTTTTTTCAAGAGAAGGACAGAAAGGACATGGAACCAAAGCCTACGTTCACGGAGGCCGCCCCCAGCACCAGCAGCAGCAGGAAGAAGAAAAGCAAGAAGAACGGCAAGGGCAAGAAATGAGTCAAGTCAGCGTTCCAGCTTTAAAAGACTTTTCAGTTTTGATCTTGATCGACGCCTGAGAGAAAATGCGTATATGACTGTAAAAGCAAATCTCTTTTTAAAAAAATGCAATAGATTTTTTACACATTTTTTACACATTTTTTACACATTTTGACACGTTTTACACATGCGTGAGTAGATTTTTTTTACACATGTGTAAGTGGATTTTTTGGTGTACACATGTGTACATGGTTTTTGGTTTACACATTCTTATACATCCTTACACATCCATACACATTCAGACATATTGTAGTCTTTTTGGTTAATGCTTTCGTACACATGCTTTCTTTCACGCCTTTGGTCATCCGTGGATGTTCTATCCTGCGGCCCTTTGGGTAGCAACTGTTTCATTTTATATTTTTTTTGTAAATCAAACTTGTCCAACCCAAAGCACAAACACATCATCAAACTTTCAAGTGCAGCAAAGAAATTCGACTGAAACTTACGAAACAAAGGTTTCACGACACAAAAGATATAAAAAGTGCAAAACGCAATGCTGAGGAAAAATCTGCAAAAATACCTCTTTGCGTGTCCAAAACAACTTTGACTAACTTAAAAAACTTGCAAGTTACGTATGTTAAACTTATGCTGCTTAGAGCTACAATTAGAAATTCTTAAAAAGTTAAGTTTCCTAAGTTAACTTGTAAGTTGCGTAAGTAGTTCAGGTGCCATAAGTGATTTACATGTACTCGATCCCAAAACCAGCCACCACGTATGTCACAGTTCGAATATCAAGTAGGAGGTCAAACCATCAGACCAAAGGGTACAAATAGATAATCTAATGCCCAAAAAAAAATATACCACTGCAACAAATATGCTGGATGACACGACCCTTCCCATGAAGTTCCACCCCATCATGCACGACACGAAAAGACCCCGGCCTCCCAGTTGATGGAGAACAGCGGCGCGCCGAGCTCCCTGCTGATCCGGCAGGGATCCAGCAGAGCAAGATGCACCACGTAGTGGCCAACAAGGCTGGAACCAAGCCGGTCACTGTTTCTATAACCCAAGGGCGCAGGATGCTGCCAAAAGCAAGCCGTTCACTGCTTCTAGTTTCTATATTGGGTTCCGAAACTGCTGTATGGCGACGATGCTAGGACGCTGCGAAATAGGTTCGAAACTGCTGTATGGCACGTTTCGGGAAGCCTCGACATGCTTAAAAAGGCCGGCTCCAGATTCGGGCAGCGGAACCAAGGCCCAGGACGCTGCCAAAACAAGCCGTACCTCTTCACTGTTTCTATAGGGTTTCGAAACTGCGGTATGGCACGTTTCGGGAAGACTCGAAATGCTTAAAAAGCTCGGCAGGCTGCAACCAAGGCCGCGGGACGCTGCAACAAGCCTCCAACTGTTTCCAGGACGCTGCCAAAACAAGCCCCTCACTGTTTTCTATAGGGTTTCGAAACTGCTGTATGGCACGTTTCAGCAGCCTCGAAATTCTTAAAAAGCTCGGCAGGCTGCAACCAAGGCCGCAGGACGCTGCCACAACAAGCCTTGAGGTTTCCAGGACGCTGCCACAACAAGCCCCTCACTGTTTCTATAGGGTGTCGAAACTGCTGTATGGCATGTTTCGGGAGGGCTCGAAATGCTTAAAAAAGCCGGCTCCAGATTCGGACAATGGAATCAAGGCCGCAGGACACTGCCAAAACAAGCCAACACATAAGAGGGCGGCGGCACCTGCGCAACAGCCCATTCTATAATCCGGCGATGCCTCGCAGTGTGTGGTGTACCTTGCAGCTACCCTAAAGCTTTAGCTACGGGGTGCGCCTCTGCAGCCGACCCCCAATGCAGCCGACCCCCAAAAATCCTTCACTCTGCTGGTGTTTTCACGTTTTTGGGGGTCCGGGGCCGGGAAGAAAGATGCTAAAATTACAATATGCTTCTGGAAGTCGATTTTGAACAATTGTTTCACTGTTTCACGATTTTTTGCTGCGCTCGGGAAGCAAAAACATCGTAAAATACAGTGTTTTTTCCGTTTCGCATATAGAAACTACATCTTGCAACATGGAGAAAACTGCGTAAATACCAGTGTTTTTGCTAGGCACCGGCACAAAAACACAGTAAATACTGTGGTTTTGGGCTTCCCAAGGCGCAAAAAACATCGGTATTTACGGTGCTTTTTGCTTCGAGAGTGAAAAAAAGTGAAAACACTGCCTATTTGACGATTTTTAGGGGTGCACAAAAATGCGAAAATAAACTGTGTTGCAAGAACAATAACGACGACGACGAGGACGACGACGACGACGACAAGAACAAGAACAAGAACAAGAACCACAACAATAATAATAGTAACAACAACAAGAGGAAGAAGAACAAGCACAAAAATGCGACAAAAAGATGTGTGGTAAGATGGTTACAAGCTGCGGTATGACAAGAACATCACACTGTGCTCTGCACCTGCGCGCACGCGCAGAGCACATGAACAACACCAACGCTCACACTACTATACATAACCCTTATGGCATCGCCGGTGTGCGAAGCTCTACATATATAATATGTATAGACTGTGTAGAGAATAATGTGAAACTGATTTGAGGTGGCCCAACCCACAAACCTTTCGTTCAAAATCTAAGCATCGCCAAGGTCACAATCCAGGCTTCAGCTGCGCGAACCCTGGGTGGGTGTCCAAAAATGGCTGGGAAATGCTGGAAGTGAAGCCCAGATATGGTATGTTAATGATCTTCAATGTATTTCATATGGTTTTAAAATGTTTTATATAAATAGGAATTTGAATAGTCATTCCACTTGTCAAACTTCAAATTTGGATGTGAATCACTCACCCCCGTAAATCATGCCTTCGACAGTCCATAGGTGTTAAGCATGTTCAATCCATAGCCAAATCCACACTGAAGCCATACGCATGAATTATGGGTGCTGGACATCCTCGCCTCAAATTCCGAAGGTCAACTTCTCCACGGTCTCCAGGGTCCTTCAATCCACTGATTCAACCAGCACATGCCCTGCCAGCTGTTCCTGCCAGGTCCTCCAAGACTTCTTCAAGCAAAAGCGCCGCCTCCTCCACCTGACAGCCGACTGCAGCTGTAGACTAGAAATAGAAGCTGCTTCCAGACTGGTTGCGGCTCTCTTTGACTGTCTGTTTCTTTCCTTTGTAATTACATTCTTTACTTAAATCTTTGTAACTAGGGTTTTCTGTTCATATCCACACAATAGGCGCATGTATTGAAATATATCATCTTGGTGTATTTAGATGGAGGTTTATTTCCCTCTGCACACCTTGCCCAAGCGCCATTTGCTCATCGCCCTGCGCTCTCGCAGGTCTTCTTCGATTTGACATGCTTCCAACCTCACCAGGCCCTTGTTGGGGGATCTTGTCCAGAGATGGGCTACACTCCAAAAAAACATTGAAAAATGGTCAGTATGAAGATAAACCATGATAGACCAGTGGATTTGGGGTACTCCATTTTTCAGACAAACTCAAATTGACAGTATGCAAACAGTGCTGTTCATCTGCTACAAGTATATTATATACTGTATGATGTACATATATATCTATATATATATATATATACACGTAGATTAAGTGAGTTTCACGTTCAATTAGGACCACAAAATGCTCCCTGCAACATCTGCAAGCTACACTGACACTCATACTACCAGTAGTACCGCACAAGGCGGTGGCGGAAGTTTCAAAAACAGGAAACCTATAGGAGAGTTTGGTTGTTGTGAATCAGGGATGGCAGAGCGAAGCCACTGATGGACTGAAAGGTGCTTGATCTCTCTCACTCTTTCTCTCTCTTTCTCTGACTATCTACATACCTACCTATCAATTTCTATGTATCTATCTATCTATCGATCTATCTATCTATCGATCTATCTATCTATCTCTCTCTTTCATCTAATTACCTATCTATCTATCTATCTATCTCTCTCTCTCTCTTTCTTTCATCTGTCTATCTGTCTAGCTGTCTGTCTGTCTATCTATCCATCTATCTGTCTATCTATCTATCTATCTGTCTGTCTATCTGTCTATCCATCTATCTATCTATCTATCTATCTGTCTATCTGTCTACCTGTCTAGCTATCTATCTATCTGTCTATCTGTCTATCTATCTGTCTATGTCTCTACCCATCTATTTCTCTATTTGTCTTGGTATCTAACTATCTGTCTATGTGTCTATGTATCTATCTGTCTATCTCGCCATCTATTTCTCGAGCTGTCTCTCTGACTATTTATCTATCTGTCTGTCTGTCCATCTATCTATTTATCTATCTGTCTGTCTGTCCATCTATCTATGTATCTATCTATCTATCTATCTATCTAATCTAATCTAATCTAATCGAATCTAATCTAATCTAATCTAATCTATCTATCTATCTCTCTCTATGTATCTATCTCTCTCTCCATGTATCGATCTATGTATCTATTGATGTATCTATCTATCTATCTGTCTGTCTGTCTGTCTGTCTGTCTGTCTGTCTATCTGTCTAGCCATCTATCTATCTATCTCATCTACCCAGCTGGCCTCTCTCTCTCTCTCTTTCATCTAATTACCTATCTATCTATCTATCTATCTATCTACCTACCTATCTATCTATCTCTCCCTTTCAGCTGTCTATCTGTCTACCTGTCTATCTGTGTTGCAGTGTCATTCAGTGTAATGTAGTGTGGTGTAGTGTAATTTAGTGTAGTGGAGCGTAGTGTAGTGTAATGTAGCGTACTGGAGTGTAGTGTAGTGTAATGTCCTGTAGTGTAGTGTATTGAAGGGAAGCGTCACCTGAACCTCCAAAACTGGTCCAAACCCCTAGTGTTTTGAACATTTTTACCTCGAAATGTGCTTCGCGCCACAACGGCGTACACTTTTTCGACATCCGAACCTCCAAAAGTGGTCCGAACCCCTGGTGTTTTGAACATTTTGACTTCGAAATGTGCTTCGCGCCACAACAGCGTGCACTTTTTCGACATCTCAACTGCCAAAAGTGATCCGGAGCTGGTGTGCTTTGTACATTTTGACTTGGACATGTGCTTCGCGCCACAACGGCGTGCACTTTTTCGAGATCTGAACTTCCAAAAGTGGTCCGAACCCCTGGTGTTTTGAACATTTTGACTTCGAAATGTTCTTCGCGCCGCAACGGCGTGCACTTTTTCGACATCTCAACTGCCAAAAGTGGTCCGGAGCTGGTGTGTTTTGTACATTTTGACTTGGAAATGTGCTTCGCGCCACAACGGCGTGCACTTTTTCGACATCTCAACTTCCAAAAGTGCTCCGACCATGGTGTGCTTTGTACATTATCACTTCGAAATCTGCTTCGCGCCACAACGGCGTGCAAATGTTCATCTCTCATCTGGCCAGCGGGCTCCGCGCCCGCCGCTTTAGCGAGCCTACTTTTCGACCCTCCGGAGCCTCAAATCATTGGAAAAACACAGTGTTTCGCGACTTTCCTACCTTTTCGCGCATCTGCATCTTCTTTCTTCTGACTCTTTCTCTTCTGATCTTCTCTCTTCTAATCTTTCTCTTCTCTCTGCCTCTTCCCTGCTCTGCTTTTCATCTGTCCATATTGTCGGAAGTTTGACTTCTAAACTTCCTTTGATCAAGGGCATTCCACCTAAGAGCCAGGCAAGTCAAGAATACGTTCTGCCTGCTGAGCTGACCATGGCCGAACCTGGAAAGGTCCAAGCTCAGCATCGCTTCGAATCGGCAAGGGCCAGGGCTCCGACATTGGCTCGTTTCCTCCAACGTTGGCTAACAGTGTCAACCGTAGTACCAGCATCAGCAAGCATGGCCTTAGAGACCGTCAAGTTTCCAGAAGCTTTGCAGCCAATCCAGAAAGTGGGACCAAAGAGGATAAAACACAACAAAAGTAACCGAGGCGCATCCACCAAGAGAAGGTACAAGTCTTGGTGGGAGTCTGCCGGATGTGAGAGTACGACCTGAATCGCACCACATCCTGTTACTCGCTCAGATTGTGATCAACTAACAGTCAGATTCTCCAATTTACCAACATCAAAAGTCAGATATTTGGCGAACTGGACCGATGCCTCAATCGCGCACTTGCAACATGGATCTTCACCGTCTTCCGTCGTCCTTGGCGTTCATTCCGCGGGAACATATATTAACGTGGCAACAGCAAGAGGCCCAAAGAAATGCTGGGATTGTCTTTCTCGGTCTGTGCAGTAGGTCTAACAAACATGTTGCTCGAAACTGGTACAAAGAATGAAGCAAATAGCTGAAGAGCGATCCAGATTCAAAGCCTTTACCTTTTGCCAGCTGCATCTGGGGCACGTAATCTGACACAAGGCTGCCCCCAGCTTGGCAACGAGATCAACCGGACTGTTGTGAAGTCGCTTCATCAAAGCCTAGGTTTGGATGTGCATGGAGAATTTGACTGCCAAATGACTGCCACATGACAAACTACAGTATGTGCAACAGATATCAATTCAAACAAACGCAAAATAGCCATGGAGCCCAAAGTCTTGCTTGACGTGATAGGGTCATTTCGGATCTTACTATATATATATAAGTATTATCATCATTGTCATCACTAGAATCATTACCATTAATATCATTCTTGCTACTTTTTGGGACAACGGGTCACAGTAAATTGAGACTTTCCCATTGCAACATTACCATAGTTATAGGGATATCCCGATTTATTTGGGTTTGGCTGAAAATAGGTTACCCCAAACTTGGATGGTTCATCATAATTTTCCCTATTAACACTGGTTAGTTGGCGGTATACCTCATTTTCTTTGCCATGGTCAAAACCCATGTGTAACCCATGGTCATTCGCGCCTCAGTATCTTTCTCAGGAATCAGTGCCAGGGCTGTACTCGAGGAGCTCGAGGAGCTCGCTGCAGCACGACTCGTCCTGCCTCGAAAACAATGGTCTCAAGTTGGTGCATCCATAAATCTGGTTCTATGGTTGGTATATATAATACATGCTAGTATAAAATATTTCTATAAACCTTTCCAAGATAGTGAATGGTTAATAATTGGATAGTAAATGGTCAGTATAAAATATTGAGTCAACGATTTGCAAATGGCTATAAGTTTGAACCCATGATTATCTATAGCTGGGATGTACTGGTTATTAATCACTATAACCAAATTATAGCTTCTGGCTGGGGGTTATTCCATACATTAGTTCCAGTTAAAACCATGGTTACCAGTAGTACCGCACAAGGCGGTGGCGGAAGTTTCAAAAATAGGAAACCTATAGGAGACGTTGGTTGTTGTGAATCACGGATGGCAGAGCGAATCCACTGATTGACCGAAAGGTGGTTGGAGTTGTGTTTGCTGGAGTGGTTGCAATGGTTGCAGTATGTTGCAGTGGTAACCTCACCCACAACTGCTGGATGTAGTGTGATGTACTGCAACTGTAGTTGTAGTTGTAGCGTAGTGGAGTTGTAGTTGTGGTGTAATGTAATTAGTGTAGTGTAGTTGCAGTCATATAGTTGTAGCTGTAGTTGTTTTGTAGTTGTAGTTGTTGTAGTTGTAGTTGTAGTGGTAGTTGTAGTTGTAGTAGTTGTAGCTGTAGTTGTTGTGTAGTTGTAGTTGTTGTGTAGTGTATTTGTAGTTGTTGTTGTTGTAGCTGTTGTTGTTGTAGTTGTTGTTGTTGTTGTTGCTGGTGTTGTTGTTGTTGTTGTTGTAGCTGTAGTTGTTGTAGTTGTAGTTGTAGTTCTAGTTCTAGTTGTAGTTGTTGTGTAGTTGTAGTTGTAGTTGTAGTTGTAGTTGTTGTTGCTGTTGCTGTTGCTGTTGCTGTTGTTGTTGTTGTAGTTGTAGTTGTTGTAGTTGTAGTTGTTGTAGTTGTAGCTGTAGTTGTTGTTGTTGTAGTTGTAGTCCTAGTTGTAGTTGTAGTTGTTGTGTGGTTGTAGTTGTAGTTGTAGTTGTTGTAGTTGTAGTTGTTGTGGTTGGTGTTGTTGTTGTTGTAGTTGTTGTAGTTGTGGTTGTTGCGGTTGGTGGTGTTGTTGTTGTTGTTGTTGCTGTTGTCGTCGAAGTTAGGGTAGTTAAGTTAGTGAAGTTAGTTAAGTTAGTCAAGTTAGTTAAGTTAATCAATGTCTACTTTTTCGACATCTTAACGTCAAAAAAGGCTCAAAACCCTCAGTTTTTTACACTTTTGACTTCGAAATGTGCTTCGCGCCACAACGGCGTGCACTTTTTCGACATCTGAACCTCCAAAAGTGGTCCGGAGCTGGTGTGCTTTGTACATTTTGACTTGGACATGTGCTTCGCGCCACAACGGCGTGCACTTTTTCGAGATCTGAACTTCCAAAAGTGGTCCGAACCCCTAGTGCTTTGTACATTTTGACTTCGAAATGTGCTTCGCGCCACAACGGCGTGCACTTTTTCGACATCGCAACTTCCAAAAGTGGTCCGACGCTGAGGTGTTTTGTACATTTTGCCTTGGAAATGTGCTTCGCGCCACAACGGCGTGCACTTTTTCGACATCTCAACTTCCAAAAGTGATCCGAACCCCTGGTGTTTTGCACATTTTGACTTTGAAATGTGCTTCGCGCCACAACGGCGTGCAATTTTTCATCGCTCCTGTGGCCAGCTGGCTCCGCACCCGCCGCTTTAGCGAGCCTACTTTTCGACCCTCCGGAGCCACAAATGATTGGAAAAACACAGTGTTTCGCGACTTTCCTACCTTTTCGCGCATCTGCATCTTCTGTCTTCTTACTCTTTCTCTTCTACTCTTCTCTCTTCTAATCTTCCTCTTCTCTATGCCTCTTCCCTGCTCTGCTTTTCATCTCTCCATATTGTCGGAAGTTTGACTTCTAAACTTCCTTCGATTATAGTGACGGACAAAATTACTTCCTACCCGCAATGGACATGGCCAAAGTGGGTAGTCCCCTATCGGTTGTGAAGGTTTGTACTTCCATACTATGATATGTGCAAAAATATGGTATCGGCAAGTGGGTGGTCCCCTATCGGTTGTGAGTGTATTCGCACAAATTTGAACATCCCATGTCCACTCCCAGTACTTTAGTCTTCCGCTAACCATGGAAAATCACAATTTTCAATGGGAAAGTCCACTATAAATGGCCATTTTCCATAGCTATTTTGACATAACCAGAGGGTAGTCATATCATGGTTCAGCAATGTTCAGCACATGTCAACTGCACAGCCAACTGGACATGCCTCGCACCTGAGCTGGGACGTTGCACAGGGGTCAGGTGCAGCAGTTCTTTCAGGAGTTTCGCACACCTGCCACCAGGCGACTTTCCAACATTTAAAAGGTATGGATCCAAATCCCTGACCCCAAAAAATGATCAAACAATGGATAGAGTTCATGATGCTTTTCCACCTGAGGATCTTGAAGATCGGAAAATGACCTTTTATTTGATCCTGTTTCATCCTTTTTCCAGGTCAGTTGGTAGCCCATGCTACTCCATTCTTCACCCAAAAAGTAGAAATCCTGTAGGCCCGGGGCTTCTCAAAGTCTCGAAGCTCGATGAGAACTTCTGCCAGGATGTTCAAGACGTTCAGGTCGATCCGCGGTGGACTTGCCTGTGGGAAACCATGAACCAAAATCACCAGCCAAAGGCCAGCCAAATGCCAGCAAATCCACCAGGAAAATGATGATTGCGAGTCAATTGCAGAGATCACTTCATAATCTTCATAACTCTGAAAAAAACAACGCGTTGTCAAATGTGATCAAGTGCTGTGTTGCACCGGAGACGTTACTTTTTCCCTGGCAAACGAGTCAATGGGTATGACCGCCAACTAAACACCCTGCACACAAGATATACCACTAAAATCCGCTTCGCGGAGCGACCTTGAAATTGGAAATCTGGCGCGGGAATAGATGTGACGCTGTACATCAAACGTTGCTGTCATGCAATGCTGCACAGGCAAGTCGCTTAGGAAAATGCAGCAAAGGCAACGGGGCACAGAGGCCACTGCAGCGGCCCTGGCAGCTGCTGGCAGCTGTGATGCTACAGCATCAAAATCGATCAGGCGATGGCGTTCGCATGCCTTTGCGACGGCAGCTTTCTCTAGGGTTCTACAGTGATTGAAAGTGTTATAATTGCGTTGAATTCATGTTAAGCCATTCTGATGCAAAATCAACCCAAAGTTCCCATCAGCTGGGAATGCGTTTTTTTTGCGGGGAAAACTGGTTGTCCTGAGTGCTGGCAGCTCCAAGTTGCGGCGTTGCAGTTGACGCTGCTTTCTCACCTTCTGGGTGGCTCGCTTGGTCCTGCCGGGGAATCACTGTGAGTTCACTGGAAAATCTGGAAAGAAAACGGGGAGAATTTCGGGGTCCTTTGATGTCCCTCAGCATGGCAATAAAGACAAATATCAGCACTGTCACGGCAAATACCACCTCAGGACATCCACATCACTGGGACATGTTCCGAGATCTTGGGACTTCCATGCCTAAACATTGTGAGACTGCCATGTTTGTCACGACATCTACCTTCCACATGAGTCATGACATGTCATGACTACCTTGTCAAAATCCTAGTTTCAACGGGGTTCTTTATTGGGAACATCAAACTATATCCAACTAAATGGATCTAAATGGTGTATTTTCCAGCCATGGCAATGATTGATTGCCAGAAGTTCTCCATTCTCAGCACCTCATCGCCAAGCCACGAAGATTAAAAACGCAGGGGCGGCAAAGCCCGGCTGCGTGAGCGGCTTCGCCGCGGAACGCACCCGTCTTCACCTCAACGGCAACCATTGGCTTCTCATGGGTTTCCAAAGAAAGACAGTCAGTTATGGATCAACGTGGATCAACTTTGCCGGAAAGGTCAGAAAGGTCTGGTGATTTTTCATTGCCATTTTGGACGAGTTGAGGGGTGGCCCACCTGGCTCTATCAACAACACATTGCTTGCTCACAAGCTCCGAGCAAAGATCAAGGATCAACAAATAAGTACATTATTACAATATTTGTTGTACATTATATTATTACAAGTACATTATTACAACAAATAAGTACATCATTACAATAGATTACAATGCTGTCCTGCAATGGTTCCCCCCAAAAAAAATAGCAATTCTTGGCTTCCCGACCATCGGAGGCAACGACGCTGTGCCATGCATGGCCTTTTGGGCAAGCTCCACGAGGCAGCTGTTGTCAGTCTTCAGCAGCAATCTGAACCTGAGAAAATGGGGATATCATGGGGAGACAGCGTGGAAATGCCCCAAATGATTGGGAAAAAACGGGGAACATGGGATATCATGGGATATCATGGGATAGAGCAGAACAGAGCGGGATAGAACGGCATATGATATGACATAATGAGATGTATATGCCTATAATCCCCAGTTGATGGGATACTAGTGGGATATATTATAATGAAATCTACTGAATCTGATTCATGTCGTCTTTAATGGGATATACGCGATGTATAACTGTATAAGCAACAATATATTCTATTTGGGTGTGTCTAAAAGCAGGGGATTCACAGTACCGAGGCACCCAAACTCAACTCATGAACCTTCACCATGAATAACGAGGCTTAGAATTCATTCAAAGTGATCCTATATTGCATTTTGGATTGGGATGGCTAGCCAGTAGCAATTGTCTACACGGAATCGGGACTAAATCAAAGACCGGAATGACGGAAAACGTAGTAAGATGTGTTTCTATTACGCTCACTGTCATGCAACATGATCATGTAAAGCACTTGGAGCTTCAAAAGTGAGACCTCCGCTGACACGCAAACGGATACCAGGAACTACTAAAGCATCTAAAGTTTGCTCTGTCCAATAATCTCATTTTCGTAAGAATAGAGGGGCCTGTTCGGTACCATCTATCACCATTTACCTATTGGTTGTTACTGTAAGGGGTGTTAACCCCGTCGTTAATCAACCAATGGGAATTGGGGACATCGCTCTGTCACCAAGTCACATGCTTTGCCACAGCTCCCTCACCACGCCATTGGTAGAGTCCAGGGCTGTTTGAAACCTCAGGCTTCGCCCTTGGCACCCAGTTGAGAAGTGGATGTTCAGCCCAAATGGGCAAAAGAGGGGGGAAAAAAAATCCCCCTCGAAATCCCCCTCAAATCTCGTGGTTTGTCATCATTTTGAACATCTGAAAAAGGGGGTATCCGCAGGGACTGGAGAAAGCCATGACGAAGCTTGTGCGAGTTTTGAAGGTCTACCAAGAGTTTTGAAAAATGCTCATATCATGAGTTATGGTCATGTTCGCCATGTTCTGTGTCTGAAAAAATGGGGTACCCCTAAAACTGGTTTATCATTTGAAATGGCCATAAATCCCCATGTTCAAACAAAGCCTTATGATCCCTTCTGTGCCATGGTCACACATAGTATTAATGGGGCTATGGTTTTGCATCCAGTGGGAATCCCATCACTATGAATTCATTGCCATAGATGGGGGATGGTCATTATATTTTTCGAGAGGTGCTGGCATTCTGTACATGTTTTGATCTGGTATTTCAAAAGAATTCCATGGTATTTTCTTGATGTCTTTTTCTGGTCTCCTGGTCTTTGTCTGGTCTTTTTCTAGTCTTGTTCTTGTCTTTTCTGATCCTTTTCTAGTCTTGTTCTAGTTGTTTCTGGTTCTCCTCTGGTGTTATTCTGATCTTGTTCTGGTATTCTGGTCTTTTTCTGGTCTTTTCCTAGTGTTCTGGTCTTTTTTAAATGATCTTGTCTGGTCTTTCTCTTTTCTGATATTTTTCTGGTTTTGGTCTGTTTTTTTCTGGTCTTTTCCTGTTGTTCTGGTCTTTTTCTGGTCTTTTTCTTGTCTTTTTCTTGTCTTTTTCTGGTCTTCTGGTGTTTTTCTTGCCTCTTTCTGCCAAAGATTTGAAAATGGCAATTCAAAACACCGCTTAAAATATGATGGCTTTTAAAAGACCTGATTCAAATACCAAGAGGGTCCAAAATTACACCAATTTCAACATGTTGGTTTCCAAGCGTTTCTGCAGAAGGACGAATAACATCTGACAACATTATATATATATATATCCCTATGAATGAATTTATCATTTCCCCATTTTATGGCAGAAATCATGTCCTATGTCACTGGATCATGGCTACGTCTCCGAGCCACGCGCAAAGATTCTGTCCAGTGTTCTCGATGATGTGGCCTCCCTCTAGCACAGCCTGGTCCACCAGTCTGTCCTTGGTTAAAAAAAGGATGTAACTTGGTAATAACCACTGTTAACCATGGCTTCAAACCGAATTAATCTATGGGAAATTATGGAATGCGTATATGTAATATTATATAATATTATCAATATTTCATATAGTACAATAATAATAACAACAATAGTATTATATTATATTATATTATATTATATATATATATATCATTATGTATCCACGTATATCCACTAGGTTATCAAGTTACCAACTAGGATCCCCAAGATCCTTCACCTCTGGAGCCGAACGGCTCTGGACAAAGATGAAGAGGCGTCGTGAGGACGGTGAAAAATGGCTTCCACCAAGCGATCCTCAGCTGAAAATTGAAGGGAAACCCCAAGTTATGGCATTTTTTTGAGGGAAAATGATGGAAAATGATGATCAATCAGTGGATTTGGGGAAAAAAATGGGTGGCAATCCCGTATGTCACTATATCTGTTTGTTCATCCCCATTGTGCAATCTATTTTCATCATGTTTTCCGTGCATTCGTTGATCTCTTCATTTGATGGTTTCGTCTGCTACTTTGAGACATCTGGACTGGCCTTCAGCGCCATGCCGATTTTGAATTCGACTGAAGGATCATTATCCAAAATATGGGTGGAAAATCATGTGGACCGCCAACCACATATAATACGTCCGGTTCCATGTCTGTTTCATCTTCAGCTCCAATTCAAGTTTCTCAATAGCAATGGTCCAACATCCCAGCTACCCAGGCCCCATTTTGCCGCAAGATTCTACTGACTCATGCGGGACACAAAGGAACTTTGCTATCTCCAACCTCAAATATTTGAAGATCTGCAAATCAAATGGGAAAAATGCGTGTGCTTTCTGTCAACTGAAACATGTTGCAAGAGAAATCCATAGCACTTTGTCCATTTGTTCTTTCAACTTCTTCTCTGTGTTCAATACCGAGGAACATTTCGAGTCTGACCTCCTGACGATCGAGAGACCCTGGCAAAAGCCAAAATACTCACAGTACAACGTCCAACTGGCTGTGAAGCATGTTACGTTGGAAAAAGCCCCGCCTAAATGGTCCACCATGCACAAGTGCACCTCAAGTGCAGAATTCGTGATCATCGACCCTTGCCAACGCAAGCCTTGAGAGGAAAATGGTGCGATACTTTTGATGATTATTAAAAGTAATGAATAGTATCGGATCTATCAACACGATAATGATGAAATTTCGAGCAATGATTACATGTTTAAGTAATGATGGTTGCTTTTGAATACTGGTGATTCATGATGATTCATTATTCATCAAACAAGACTGATAGATCTGTTTCTTACAAGCTCCGAGCAGCAAAGTCTGGATGTTCTTCTGCTTCTTTCGCCCATGCCGCTGTGTGTTCGAAGTAACTTCCAAAGAGCTTTAAGCCCTGGAAAGTCAAACACAGCTAATAGCACAATTGGCAATCAAAAAGGAGTAGACTCAATAGAATGTCAGTTGAGGAGCTCTCAAACTACTAAGCCACTAAGCAGAAAATGTGTTTTACTGTGGCTTGGACGAACAACATCAAAGGCCTGGTTTCAACGCAGCACTGAAATAAATGTATTGAATGCGATAGAATCCGACTTGTAAACTGTACCTATACCTCGCTGAAAGTAAGGCTAGAGAGGTCGACAATTTGGCTGCGGACCTGATCGACTGAAAATTCCTTCCAGGAAGTGAGATATGTACCGTTTTACAGTTAGCCATCACTCATCCCCCTGTCTTTTTGGCTGATGCTTTTAGATCAATATACTGTACTGTAATACAATTGGCAATGCAACCCTGTTAAGTACCAGCTGGTCCGACCTGCTATCCTGCCTTCTCCGCAACTTCACTGATGAATGACTTGAGGTCGAAATTGAAGGAGACGTCTGGCTCGATCCTTGCCGAAAGATTCAGCCAGTGGTAGCCTTCAGCCAGTGCCCTACTGCCAGCCGCCCTGCCATGAAGCCAGGTTGCTGGCCCAGGGTTTGCCACCAAACCGTAAAGGCATGCCGTGGATCAGCAACTAAGACCAGGATCTTCGGAGGAATTCCTACGCACCGACGCGCAAAAAGATTAATGACATGCCAAGATCTAGGGAGGCTTTTTATCTCAGGGAAACTTTGGCATATCTCCAGATATGCCAACTGGATCCAACTGGTTTGTCTGCAAATTCATGGGAATCTCCGAAATCCATCTAAATCAACTGGATCATTACAATGAGTTTCCCATATCTTCCCCATGTTTTCATGGCAATTGTTGGGTTCCCTCATTTTCAGGAGCAGCCACATGTTGAGACAACAAGCGCAACGGTTTGGTCCATCTCCACTGTGTGGTGGAAAAGGATATCGGCATGGGAACCTCGGATGGCACTCGGATAGAACACCATGACGCTTGCAATCATACGTGTCTAGGGCTCCTGGAAAAACCTTTGAGTGATTGGGTCCCCAAGTCCTTGTGACATCTTGTGACATCTTGCGAGTATGTTTGGTGGCTATGCTTAGTGGCTTAGTTCATCTTAGTTCAGTATCTCCAGATTCTTCCCTTCCCAGGACGAGAAGCAAATGCGGAAGAGCGTGTGTCTTGAAGCATCTGCGACCCTTCCAGCTCTCGGCCTCACAAAGATATGATTCGACTCCTCGCTTTGAAGCAGCCGCATCCTGAGATCAACACGAATGTGTGCTGCAAAGGCCCCTTAAATGCATTGAAACAAGTAGAGTGCGGGTTGGTTAGAAGGTGTATTGGAAAACAAGACTGTGAGAATGCGCTACGAGTAGAACCAATCTGCAGACGTCTTCGGACTACATCTTGAAGACAAGCATAGTTTACTTTGTAGTCAGTTTGTACAGCACGTGCTGATCCAAGGATAGCATATGGAGAGCACGTGATTATTCTGTTTTCAAGCTGCCAACCATTGACCGATTTGACCGGACACGGGCCCGGCGCCAAGTCTCACAGTAGTAGGGTTTGTCCAGCAATCCGTTTTCCCATGGATTCTCATGGCCTCACAATCTCGCTCAAAATCCCTGATCTATAATCGTGCCGCACACAAAGGCATGTTTCCTGTATGTTTCTATCACATCTCACATCATATCATAACTTAATGATACTTTATGAAAAACAAAGCCAACAACACTTCTACCATAACAACGTCTCCTTCAGTTCACTTTTGGCGAATTCTTTCCGCGTGCCTTCGACCATACAGGTTAGAACCCGCTGCAAGCCTGGAGGCATTGGTGACGGTCGACAGCGTCACTCAGCCAGGAGCACAGTTCCCCAGCCTCGAACTGGAAAGTTGGAGACGAGAAAGACATCGCCTTCGCACAAGGAAGACATCCAAAAGTCGCGGGAGCACTTTGAGCCACGAAAGGCCACCCACGCCTTCGCGACTGTCCCAAGAGCTTTGCAAACTTCGGATGGCAGATTCCTTGAAGAATCCGGGATAATATATCCTTGGCTGCTTCAAAACATGCTGTGCAAACTCGTGGTAGTCCACTTCATATTCCACAATTTTTCATCAATTGAAGGTCTCCATTGCTTACCTTTTGATGGTCAACTATGAATGGCTTCGGTCAAGATGCCCTTGGATCGGCTTCCAGCGCAGAATGTTCTCGATCCTCTCTGTCTCCACATCCATTGGAGCTGTGCAGACTCTGGATGTGCGGAGCTGGATGACAAGTACTCAAGCTGCTAAAGGCTTTGTCTGCTTAGGGTGGGGGTTCCCTAAAATTGGGGGTACCCCAAATGGATGCTTGATTTCATGGAGAATCCCAATCTAAGGTTTATTTCATGGAAAATCCATCTAGTCTATAAATGGATGATAAAGGGGGGGCACCTCCATGGATTGGAAACCTCCAGGTGTGGGTGCAGATATCCATCTGTTCGGGCCTTGCCAACACACCCTTGAGCTGTGACAGCTCTATCACAGACAGGAAAACATGTGGGTTTGTTCACAAATGGGGGTTACCCTAAATGACATTTCAAATGCCCAAAATGATTATAAACAATGGCATTTGGGGGTACCCGGGGTACCCTGTTTTCAGACAAACCCATTTCAAAAGATCTGTAGGCTGTAGAAAGTCAATCCCTGCAGTGCCGCACTCGTGCACAAAGTCCACTGCTAAACTGCTGAAGTGCTGCAACCCCCGCCTTGCGACCCCTGTCTACGCAGACCTCCAATAAGGCCACACATTCCTTCCAACGGTGCCTCGACATAGAAAAAATATGAAAAAATGACCATCTGCTTCCAGCATGTTTAATTGGAGGTCATGCCTCTGGACCAGCTTCTTTGCAACTTCGCAGGCCAGCTTGGGCTCTTGTGTCTCCTGAAACATGGATCGAAGGATCGAACTCAGAGAACGTGTGCGCGGCTGAAACCATGGTCAGATATTATAAGTTGTTTATCAACAAATGGTTTTCCTTGAGTTTTCCAGTAATGGTTTTCCTGAGGTTTTCCAGAGTAAATTCACCCATCAAAACTGCCAAAATAACTGGGGGAGTTTCAACCTCCACTGCCAACCCGGGCGATATGTCAAGGAACTTCATAGAGCTCGAAGAGAACTTCAATGCCCTTGTCAACGCTGTCCTGGTTAGAATGGCAGCGTGCATCAGCTTGTCCAGGACTGAGGTTGTTGTTTCTTGTTTTTAACCAGCCAAGATGTTTAGAAACTGTTTATGGTGATATAGTAATAGAATGATATCCAATCCTATCCAATTATATATAGAAATGGGGAGTATCCATACTATCCAATTTATGGGGATTTTTTTTTCTACAGCAGAATAGCCAGTTTTTTTTCATGGGGATACAACATGAACATCAATGGGACATCCTGGGATCATTATATTATATTATATTATATTATATATATTATATTGTATTATATTATATTATATATATTATATTGTATTATATTATATTATATATATTATATTATATATATTATATTATATTGTATTATATTGTATTATATT